TATTACGAAATTGAAACCCTAATTTATGGAAGGTTAATATAAAGTGAAATTAACTGTGTTTCCAGAGAAAATCTGGTTGTATTGTATAAAAACTTACCAGAGTTAGGATGAAACTTGAATGACGAGCTGATATGGCCTGAGATGAAGATGCGACGTGACGAAGATGAACTGAGATGACGATGAATGACAAACGACGAACAGTGAAAACGGGGTCAGAGAAATTTGTGAGGAAGGAATGGGAATGATTTTTGCAGAAGATAACGAAGCTCTAATGTCGATGGTGAAGATGAAATTGAAACCCTAGTTCTGCTGTACTGTTGTTCGTGAAGATGGCGGATGATTTTAATGGAACTCAGACGTCGGAAAGTTTCATTTCTGTGTTGATTTTGGGAAGGGTATTTTGGTCCACAAAATAATTAAAAATACGCGCCAAGTTGTTCAGGGACCTGATGCATCACTATTTTTTTTTTGTGTCCTTTATCCTCTAAATTATTATTATTATGGACCTTAAAAAAAATTCCCCAATATTTTAAGAATTTAATAAATTCAATTGATAGTTTAGGAACTAAATAGATTTTGATTTATATAATTTAGGGATTTAGGAGACTCAATCTATAGTTTAGGAATTAAATGGATAATTTAATGATAGTTTATGCATACAAAGTGTAATAAATCCTAGTGTAATGTACCCTATATGTTATTGGAAACCCAAAACCCAATTTAGATCCTCTCCACTGGCCCAAGTTAAAATGGCTTTGACAAAGTCATTTTTTTATTATAGCGTAACTTGTTATTTTTGCACAATTAAGTAACAAATTCAGTTAATTTTTAAACTTTTCAACCATTGGATTGATAGATGTAGTAAATTAAAGTTACATATACATAAGATATATAGTGAATGTTATTCCTCTAGAGTTGAAGGTCTTCAGATGATAAATTGTGAATAATTGACTTAATTTTAATTATTTTTTAATATTATTGATTTTTTGTAATTTGTAGATTTTTTAGAATTTTAAAATTTTTAATAGAATTTTGATTTGTAAAAATTGTGATTTTTTTTTAGTCTTAGTAGGAAATAATGAAAATTAGTGAACAAGTCCATTTTGAGCAAGTTGTTTAGCATAGATCCTATAAAGATACTTGTGATCCGATAATCACAATATACTCATTTGAAAGAAAAATAATATACAAGTCCACTTTCTAGACACATTGATGTGTCAATAAGAAGATTGATTAGAAAATAGAATATTTTTTTTACAAACCCAGTTTCTAGAAAAGAAAATTAATATACAAGCTCACTTTCTAGATCTATTTAAAAATAATATATTTTATTAATTAGGAATTAGATTCTTTTCTGTTAAAAAATTTAACTTGATGGTTTCTTTAGCTCACTATAAACTCATTTCAAATTCGTTTCAATGATTCAAACAGTTTATTTTGTATGATTTTTAGAGAAGATCATGCACACTAAAAATCAGGTCGATCCGATATTGGGAGCTACTTAATCGGAACACATTTGCTTGAAAAATAATTAATAGATAGCATAATTTTGAAAGTAGTCTATTAATTATTTTTCAAACAAAATGTGTTCCGATTAAATGACTCACAATATCGAATCGACGTTTTCCTCTTCTTTTTTTTTTTCTATCTAAGACAATAGTCATGACTGCCATAATGTTGGCAGAAGAAAGCAAGAATGAGAAATAAAGGGAAAGAAAGAATAATGTCATTTCAAGCATATCACAAAATTTTCACTAGTTTATGTAACGTATCATTAATAGAATGTTCACATTGATACAAATTGATAATTTAATGTGAAAAAATAACAATTTTTAGTTTAAGGGGACAAAATTATTATGGATGATAATAGTTCAAGGGTTAGGAGTAATTTACCGTAGACACAAGTAGATAGCTGGTGATTAACAGAGCAAGCTGTACTGCCCCTACTGTTTTGATCAAAGGGAATTGATATTTAAAGCACAAAAAGGTTTTTCCTGAATGAGCTAGAGTAGTTATAATTTTCTTCACATGTAATTTACATTTTTCTCTCATGTATCCTTATCAACTCGTCGCAAAAATTGAATTACACCAGAATTATAGCCCTCATTGACAAGAAAATCGCAAATCAATTTGTTTTTGTATACCAGTTTCATTCATTCTCCTCATTTTTTTCCCTGGATTTAAACAGTCATGACCAACACTAATGCTCCAAGACATTAATCTCATGTGCAACTCTACAACGCATCTCCTGATTTTGCAAACTCAGAGTGTTAACTTAAATCTCACCTCAAGGGTCTTGATTTTGAATTCGCCACTCACCGAGCACAATTGCTTAATTCACTAACCAATATTGTAAAACTATCCGACCATGCTCTGTCCCGGTGCTTTGTTGATTGTATTTTCCATCGTCAACGCTCTCACTTTCTTGACTTCATCCCATTTCCCTATTTCTGCATAAACATTTGACAACAATACATAATTACCGAAATTCCAAGGTCCAAGATCAATATGCTCATTCACTGCACTTTCTGCAAGCTCCATGTTATCATGAGTACAACAAGCACTTAGCAATGCACCCCAGATAGTAGCATTAGGGTGCATAGGCATGGTGCGAATTAAATCGTGAGCCCCCTTCACACATCCACTACGCCCAAGAAGATCAACCATCGATCCATAATGTTCAAGTTTTGGTTCAATTTGATGCTTTGTAGTCATCGAAGCAAACAAATCCAAACCTTGTTGCACCAACCCTGCATGTGCACAACATGCTAAAACTCCCACAAAAGTGGCATCATTCGGTTTCACATCTTTCGACAACATCTCCTCAAATAAATCAACTCCAAGCTCACCCTTTCCGTTGAAAGCCAAATCGGAGATTATGGCATTCCAAGAAACCACATTTTTTCGGGCATGTCCTTGAAAATAGTGAAAGTTGTTTCTAAAATCTCGTATTTGCAATAGAAGTCAACTAGTGAATTCCCTATATAGATGAAATCTCGATATAGTCCACTTGACTTGGCATAAGAGTGGATCCACTATCCAATATCAACTGCCTCCAAACAAGCACAAATTGGTAGCACAGAACCACAGTTGCTTCATCCGGTTTAAAACCATTGTCCTATGTTTGGCAAAAAATCTCCATAGCTTCATTTTCCCAACCACTTCGAGCTAAACTTGAGATCATAACATTCCAAGACACAACACTCCGCTCGCTCATCTTCCTAAATAGTCGAAACCCCATTTCAAAATCACCAATTTCACAAAACCCACAAATCATCAAGTTCCAAACAATCACATCCGTATGAGGCATTTCATCAAACATCTTCATCGCATCCTCCCACAATACGCATACAATTCAACAATCCCAATCCTAATCGAGCTAAAGCTCTCAAACCCAACTGAAATAACCTTCTTATGAAGTCCCTGACCCATTTTGAGATCAAGAAGATTGGAACAAGACTTGATCAAAGGGGCAAAAGTGAATTCATTGGGCCAAATTCCTCGAGACTTCATTATTGTGAAAAATTGGAGGGAATTTTGAAAGGGTTTGGAGAGGGAGTGGCCTTTGATCATGGAATTGAAGAGGAAGATGTTTGGGTTATGGGTTTGGTGGAAGATGAGATTGGCGTAGGAGATCCTGTGGAGTGAGAAGCAAATGGAGATGAAGTGACAGAGGATTTGATTGGATTGGTGGAGGTGGTGGCGGAGGAAGTGGGCATGGATTTGGGTGAGTTGGGTTCGGGTTTTGCAGCCATGGTGGAGGTGGAGGATCCTATGCTCCACCTCCCACCAACTTCCGTTCATCTTCTTATCTCCTTATATATTGTGTCTTTGTGACAGTTTGTGTGTTTCTATAGAAGAGAGAGAGATGGTTGAAGAAGGAACTGAAATTTGAATTGTGAACTGGATTGGTGCGAAATTTTTTATTATGATGGATTGTCTGGAATAAATATAAAATAAAATTCGAAAAAAAAATTCGAATTTGACCCGCTTTTATATATATATATATATATATCATAGATTTGACCTTGCTAACAAACTAAATTCTAATTTTTTAACTGTTTCAATTTAGTACGGCATAACCTATATAAGTGTATTTATTTAGATAAGTGTACTAATTTAAATCACATCATTTCTCTATTTTTTTACATACTTTTTTTTTTTTTATAAAAAATCGAAAATTATATTTATTTAGATCATCCCAAATATCTCTTGAGAATTATATTTAATTATTTGTTTTTCCTTTATTACAACTGACAACTATCTCCCATCCTTATTTTTGTTCATCACCACCCTTCCTTTTTCCGAACGCACTACCACTGCTTCATTCATTTTCTCCATTCAATGCTAGTCTCTTTTCCTAACTCACTATCGCCACTCTCATTTCTTTACTAATCCATGGCTACAATCGTTGTCCAACGCCACTAACAAAAGGTGATTAAACTATCCAAATTGCTCATGTTTTGCTAGATATAACTAAAAAAAATACAAAAAATATAAAAACTCAAAAATTGTTTTAAAAATCTTAAAACCAAACAAAATAGAAACTTACTGAAATGTGAATATGATAACTCTGTTTCTATCAGACAAATTTATGTGCACACCTTAATTCTTTAATAACATCAGCTGATGCAAAAAAGCAAGCCCAATTGGAATAGATGAGATTGAATTTGTTTCAAAGGCTGCTGCCTTCTTATTGGGAATTAAGACAAATATTTTAATGTCTGACAGTAGAACTCAGCTGGAATGTTTACCCCCTCTCGCCCAACCATAATCGCCGCTTCATCTAACCAAAAACAAAAACAAATTTCCAGAATGCAAAATGCTATTACCAGCTTTGGCAATAATTTTTATCTCAATCTTCAGATTCAAATGTTATAACAAGCATGCTTAACCATATTGCAAAACAGTTGAATGGTAAAAGTGTTTTCCAAAACAATATCACCTTAATCGAGAAGAAGCACATCATCGCTCATCTATATTTTTGGCAACATATCCAGTAAGATGAAATGTACAAAATTGGAAATGATATTCAGCCCCAACAGTTAACCTTATAACAACAGCCATGTGAACACTTTCATTACTATTTGTTACATTCAGAAAGGAAAGCCAAAAACTTGAAAAGTTTCCCTTTCTAGTAGAATTCAGGAGGTCTAGACTAGGGATAAGCATCTTAAAATCACTTTTTGGATGAACCAAAACCCCAAATCCCACCATTGCTGCAACATCAGCATCTACCTCAGTTTCCTCCTCTGCTGCCTTCTCTTTCTGATCCATATAACAAATCAATAGCCAAAAATCATATTATATTTCTCCTCAAGTAACATAAATTGGAGCATGTGCATCTCGTCAATTTTCCTTTTTCCTTCGTTAAGTAAGCTTGTGTATCTATGCTTATCAACAGGAAGAAAAAAAGGGAAAATAGATTTGGAACAAACTTTCTCTTTCTTCCTCTCTCTACGTTGACGCTTCCTTTCCTCCTCTTCTTGCTGCTGTTTTAAGATCCGGTCATCAAAATCTACCAGAGAAGAAGAACATAATCAATCCAGTTTTTCCATGTATATCCTCGTAGCAATGGAAATAGTTCAGGCAGAAAAAGGGTTAAATCTGAACATAAGAGAATTGAGCAAAGAAATGAGAACTCGTAATGCTTGCTTGGTTCACAACTGAGCAATCAATACTTATCAATTGTATTAAAGAAGTGGCACAACGTTGTACACACAAGATATACAACTAAGCAATCAATAATATTGTTGATACTTAAAAATTAAACATCTGAACTCAACTAGCCTTAAATTCCAACCAGCAAAACACTTGCTTCGTATTTTCAAGTCTTACCTTGCTTCCTAAAGGGTCCAGTATCTTTCTGCTTCTTGAGAAGTTCAAATCGCTCCAGTACCTGAAAGCCGAAGAAGGTTAGAGTCTTAGCACACACTACAACACTATGAATAACTTTTTTCCCAAAATGAAAATTTGGGGTCCCAGATAAATAACTTGCTTTTCAGAAAAATCGAAACGTTTGGGAGTAGAGAATTTTTTCATCACATAATGTATACATATTAACTTTGGGAGTAGAGAATTTTTTCATCACATAATGTATACATATTAACGTTTGGGAGTAGAGAATTTTTTCATCACATAATGTATACATATTGCAGGCACTTGTTTTTTGTTAAGTAGGATTATTAAGAGGGATTCGATGTTCTCGGAGATATAATGCCAGAATTGTTATGTTCTTTAATCCAGCCATATCTGATGTTCAGTTGGGGCAGGGTAAGAGATGGCATGAGGTGGACCCAATACTTTTATTGCCATCAAGTTTTATACCAAGCCTTAACCACCATCTACCTAATCCTCAGACTAACAATATAAGCCTCATGGAGGCACAAACAAAGGGGATAAGTGAGCCCCATCAACTATAAAATTATTTTCATAAAATCAATATATATATTTTTAATTCATTCATTGTACAAATTATTAATATTTTCTAAAATAAAATACATCCACATCCACACATCTCCACATCCACATTCACAAAATCATACGAAGAATAATATATATGTACCCTTTAACAATTTTCAACCAAATATTTTTTACAAAATTATATAAAACATTCTTCAACAATACTAATAATTTTTGATATATTCAAGAACTCAAATTTTTATATCTAGAACAAAATAAAAGTATTGACAATACAAATAAAAAAAACATATATTATAGCTTGGTTTAATATTGACAGTAAGTTCCAATGTCGAGATGCAAAGATATCATCACGCACTCAAAAGGGGTTGCATCTGCAAAAAGAAACCAAAAAAATACTCATTATTTACAATATAATTAATTTCAAGCTTACAGAAAATGTAAAACATTTGATATTTATTTCAATAAATAAATAAATACAAAAAAAAATATTGTAACATATACATGAATCGAGCGCCACACAATGTATCTTCCAACAGCTTCTCCAGCTGTTCTTAGACCTCGGGATTTTGTTTCCAAAAGAGCATTCGGCTTTTTCGCTTTTAAGAGAAAGACTTTGCAATATTGAGGACCAATTGGAACTCTATCAATTTCACACAATGAATCGTCAATAATAAGAAGTCCCTCTGTCAATTGGACTATTGGTATACGTAACCTATCCAAAAAAACTTTAATTACATCCTACAATGATGATAATACTATTAAAATCAGGTGGTGATTGAATACATTGTGCTATAATCTAATAATAAACGAATAAACACAAAAGATGAAAAGAGTCTCTAAAGGACTTGTTTTCACAAACGGGAATTTGGCTATAGATTCAAAATCGGAACCAGTTTCGAGTTCCGTCTTTTACTACAAGTCATTTGTGCCTATTTAGTTAAGTGTGTCAAGTTTCCTTGACAATAGAAGCCGTTTGAGCATTTTATTTTGTCAACCAGTTTGACAAAGAGTTTCTAAGGGACAAGTTTTCACAAACGGAAATTTGGCTTTAGATTTAAAACCGGCAATCGGTTTCAAGTTTCATCTTTTTCTACTAGTTAGTCGTGTGTGTCAAGTTTCGTTGACATTCGAAGCCGTTTGACCATTTTGTGAGTCAACCAGTTTGGAAGAAGAGTTTCTAAAGAATAAGTTTCCATAAACGAAAATTAGGCTGTAGATTCAAAACCAGTAATTGGTTTCGAGTCTCGTCTTCACCTATAAGTCATTTGTGCCTAGTACGTCGTGTGTGCCAAGTTTCATTGACATCCGACGCCGTTTAACAATTTTAGTGAGTCAACCAGTTCAGAAAGGGAGTTTTTAAAGAACAAGTTTTCATAAACATAAATTAGGCTCTAGATTTCGGGCTCCATCTTCTCCTAGAAGCCATTTGTGCCTAGTTCATCATGTGCATCAAGTTTCGTTGACATCCGATGCCGTTTGACCATTTTAGTGAGTCAACCGGTTCAGAAAAAAAAGTTTCTAAATGACAAGTTTTCACAAACGACAAGTTTTCAAAATGTTTGAAAGTTTTACCTCATCATTTGGTGGTGGTGTACGTGGGTTCTCATCGGCCTTATAATCCGTAGGTTCACGGTGGCCACTCAATGCATCCGGTACCTATGGTATCCTTTGTTAATCGTATTTATATTCAATGATAGAATTGTGCTAAAATTAGATATTTATAAAACATAATTTATACCAAACATGTTTGTTGTGGTTTGTACTCCCTTCTTGGGACACAATAGCCAACATTTCAACTTTCATTTGTCGTATCTGTGTCGAAAGCTCTGCTCGCATCTCCTCTCTCAATTCCTCTTTAATCTTATCCCTTAGCTCTTGTCTCAACTCCGTACGAACCTACTAGGTGATCTCAGCAACAGTTGATGACTGAGATCCTGACTGTGATGACTTTAGATGCGTCTCCATACACCATGCTCCAAAGCACACCTTGCCGCAAGTATGACAATATCCATGCCTGTTTTCACTAACCACCTTGTGGAAAACACTATCTCGAATATCTTCAGTAGTGTGATAATCTTCAGGCAACATACCATGCTAGGCCTAACATCAGCGTCAGTTTGATTGCGTGTATATTTCCAAACACTCATTTTATCAATGGCCAACCCTTTAGCTGTCATTTGAAAATTTAAAAATTAATTATTATCTAAGTAATTTAGATATTGATATTTACCTAAACAATATATACCTTCCTTTGAATCTAGTTGAATGAAGTACTTCCTTTCGTATGATTAATATAATGAAAGGAATGACTTCCAGCATTGTAGACTGCAATTGCCTATAAAGTTTCCATAAATGTAAGTTGCAATTATACAAAGTTATTAATTTTTCTAAAGTTACGTGTTTTGTAATTAACTTATTTTGTATACCTCTACTTTCATAGTCTTCCAATAATCAACAAGATCATGCCACTGTTCTAGAACAATTTGCGAAGGCACCATATCTTTGATATTAGGATAAGACTTAAAAGACTTAAAATACTCATTCCTGATCTTGCTTTTGTGATCCTTCCACAAGTCATTGCACTTTTTCAAGCAACGTGATTTGTACCCCTCTAGACAAATTTGTAAATTATCCTACAATACAATTTAAATCATTAGTTCAATAAATAATATAATTAAACAATTTACTAAATATGCTTTTACCTTAATGTCTACCCATATTGATTCAAGAATATCCTTTGGCACATGGTTCCAATCAACGTACGTAAAGAGAAACCACTCACTGAGTGGCAATAATGTTTTTATTTGAACATATACATCAAGTAGCAAGAACTGAAAGACTCATTGTTAGTTTCCTCAAGAATTATATAAACTGTGGGAAGTGTTCCTTGCACAGAAAACAATGAAGTGTGACAGAAGAAGAAAAAACGAAAGTGAAGAAGCAAATAATTGTAAGATAAACCAAAGAGAAGAACATTTGACCAAGTAGCAACCGCAATGAGAATGTGATGGTAATGTGACAAAGTCATAGGAAAGGTTGGCACACGAGATTCTTAGTAACATGCATAGTTCCATGCAAATTTATTAAAAATTCATAAATGAAAAAAAAAATGATAAATAAACTTACAAAAAATATTGAGTGACAAAACTAATTCATCAAATTTCCCTAAATCAACATGCATAGTTCATTTAGAAAACTAGATTGTTAGTAACATGCATAGTTCCATGGATATTTATTAGAAATTCATAATTGAAAAAAAAAATGACAAATAAACTTACAAAAAAGATTGAGAAAACTAATTCATTCTTGTAATGTGCTACTCATAGAACCCTATATGGATTTAATAGTTATATACATATAACCTCCCAAACTCATTTTGGAGAATGGACCCCATAAGAAAAGCGGATCCAAATTACATTATTAGGCCTTGTTGTTACTGCCCGCAGAGTTTTAGGAGTATTTGCCATGATCCCTTAGGTTACTCTATTTCTCATTCTAGGCCACTTCTAGGTTCCATGATATATATAAAAAAAATTAAAAAAAAGTGAGAAAAATAAATCTTAAACAGAAATAATAATAACAATAATAATAATAATAATAATAATAATAATAATAATAATAATAATAATAATAATAATAATAATAATAATAATAATAATAATAAATGTGAAAAAAAAAACCTCATTTAAAATTGTTGCTTTAATTTAAGCCTCAAATTACCTCCTTATAAATAAACTAGTCAACTACTATTTACTAAAAGGTACAGAGAGATTTGATAAAGAATATGCAAATAGTATACGACATAACTACGGAAAAGAAGGGAAGAGAACGATAAGGAAATACTTTGGATTAGTGGCAAATTATTTTTGTCTTTCAATTCTAACCTATATTCAAGGTTGTCAGAATTGGGATTGTAGGTTGGCCGGGCTAATTTTTTTTGGCATTGCCCCAAAAAAAAAATAAAAATAAAAGAGTAAAGGCTTAACACATACAAAATGATTCAAAAGTTTACTAGAAAAAGAGCATTATGATAAAAGTTCTACATTTCAAGATCTTAGGTGTAACCATATTACTAGTTAAATTATAACAAAACTTCATTATTTTATGTTTTTCATTTCCGTTTGATGTTATTCTTAGAAGTGGCATTAGAAGTGTCATTCCTGAAACTCAGGATGCAAAGAGGAAGCTTCAACTTCCTTTGTGTGTGTGGGTAGTTATCAAACGATGAGTTTTTACTTCAACTTCAAACTTGAACCATTATATCACTACAACAAAATCACTGCAAAGAAAAGAATGATAGAAAAATCCTGATCCACAAGAACGGGTAGAATTCTGGATACTGAGAGAATTCCAATGTCCATGCATTTCTTTGATTGACCATTTTCTATTCAATTCACAAAAATTTGTTGGTGTTCTTGTAACCAGATGAACACCCAGAAAAACACAAAAACAAAAATATACAACTACAAGATGTACACTAGGTGAAATTCATGTAGCTCCTTCAATAAAGCCAACTGAAGTGATATGCATGTACAGAAAAGCATCACAAGGACCATGGTCAATCACTGACTCTGACTGTGTCTCGCCCCAAACTTGCCCCTAAAAGTTTGGGCATGACCTAAGCAGAAAAGGACA